TTTCAACCACTTTTGAAATAGTTCTTTACTTTCTTCAGAATTTAATTTGATAAGGTTAATAAAGATATCTCTTTTAGCCTTATTCCTTACCTGTCAATGAACACTTGATTGCTTATAATAAGGATAATATTGGTAGGTGTTAAGAATTAAATTCCTACAAGCTGGTTGAGTAGGATATAACTTACAAAACTGAGACCACTTTTCTTGGTCACAATAAACTCTCATAATCTCACCAACTATATCTACATCAGGATTGTCAGTGTAATGACTTTCACTTAAAACAGTAATTATTCATGCTCTAATTTCTTCATTATTCAACTGTTTAAATTGCAAGGTGCTTTTAATTGTTCTATTTCTTCTAATAATTGTTTATTTCTCTTTTGGAGTTCATTTATTGTGTTTACCATATTTATTTTTATTTTTTTTTATTGCTCTTTTAATATACTTATATCCTTTTTATGATGATATATTAAGTATATAAATTATTTTAGTACTTTTTACTTTAAAGGTGGAAAAAGCCAACAATATTTGTCAAAAGATTAAACTTATTAAACCTAATGACAGCAAGAGACAAATTAATGAGTGACAAAGTATGGAAGTGATTTTATTCTGAATATTTTATTTGTTGCCAGTATAAAATGGTCTTGGACAAGTAATATCTTTGTATTCATCTTTCACAAATGGACAAATATTTTGGTAAAGATATTCTTGCCTTTTGTAATCCAAAGGAGGTGGTGTTAATACTAAAATTGATAAAGCTTCAATTTCTTCAAAAGTATCTGCTTTCTTGGTTTTCAACAAGTTAAATTTAGTAAAAGGTCCATTAGCAACTTCTTGAACTTTTACTGTACCAAGATTAGATTCTTCAAAAAAGAAAATGTTGATATTTCTAGATGTTTGGTAATTTCTTAAAATAAATTCCCAAAATAGCTTTAATATCTAAGTATTGAAAACCTTTTCCACCTTCATAACATTGAGCTTTATTTAACCCTGCTGGACTAGTCTTTTTTACCACTGCAGCCACATGATCCAGACAATCTACTCTTGTTCTTCTGTAGAGTTTTTTAATCATGCCAAAACTACCATCATATTTGAATTTGGTATGTCCTGGAATCATGAAATTCAATTCAATACTTTCATAATGATCACCAGCATTATCACAAGTAACCTTTAAATGCTTTTCACCTTTATTCAATTTCTTAATTCCATCAAAAATCATGCTAAGAGTTCCATTGGGCCCTTTTCCTATAATCTCATTTTCATTAAAAACATAATTAATTTGTTCCATTACTGCTTCATCTTGAATACCAAATAAATGAACTTTTCATGGACTAAGATAATAAATTTTACTTACTTGTTGATCTAAACAAGGCACATGAACATTTTGGGCTCAATCATAACTATAATGAGCAGTAGCATCAATACTGCAATACCATGTTTTACCCTTTGAATATTTTTGGTTAACAAGTTTTCTTTGCTAATTTAGTGTTTTTATTAAAATGATTTCTTTCTAGCTTGGCCTTAGACAGATGTTCTTTAAATCTTTTAAGTAATTCTTTGGCTTCTTCCTCTTGGTGAGCATTATAATGTAAACCATCTCTAAAATGTTGACAAATATCACACAAATCAGTCCTTGGACTCATAATTTGAATCTCTGGTGTTAATTGATGCCACAACTATACATGAAGTCGAAACTATTTCGACCATTTGCAGATCTGGTTGAAATAGGGTCGAAATAAGGTCGAAACTGATTTTTACTATGTAGTTGCCTCAAGTCAAAACATTTCGACTTTGGGTTTTTAATTTCGACTTCATGTATAGTCACAACTTCCTAAAAGCATCACACTTCAAAGATTTCAAATTACCATCTTCCTCTAAACCAGCTAGAAGATCTCTGTGTACTGATTTATAACACATTTCAGCTGGTAAGAATACAATTGGTTGGGTTATTCTATTGATGCTTTTGCCTGGACTTGGTAATCCATGGACTTCTGCAACATTTTTATCAATCATCATTTTAGTTTTCCATTGAGGCATTCTTTTAATATTGCCATGAATTCTTGGCAGAAGACCATTGTTTATTAGATGATTTCTGATATGTTCAAAATAAGTTCTGCCAACTTCTAACATATTGAGATAAGTTTCTTGTAAGGTTGTGGGCGAAACCTCTTAATGACTGTTGAAACTCTGTCGAAACTCTAATGAACAATTAATGTGTAACCTGTCAAAACTCTGATGATTGGCGAAAACCCCAAATGCGAAACTCTGCCAAAACTCTAATAAACAATTAATGTGTAACCTGTCAAAACTCTGTCGATTGATTTCTGGAGGAGTTTCTCCCACAACCTTAGTTTCTTGACAAAGGAGTGTATTGTGATCCCAATGGTAGAAAGTTCTTTTATTAGATCTAGTTTTCTTTTTAAGGCATCTGCTAATCCACCATCCATTGCCTTAAGTTGGGTCATCAAAAATATGTCTTGTTCAGACTTGGAAAGAGCTTGAAAGGATTCTCTTAATTCTGAAAATTGTTCCTTGGGAATTCTTGAAGAGCAGCCACAGTTACATCCTTTTTCTAAAAAATCAATTGCTTTTTGATATTCATTAGAACCATTGTACTTATTATTACCTTTCATATATACCTATCCCTATATATGTTCACTTTGTAGGTTTTTATAATTGTTTTAAAATTGAAGAGAAGTATGAATAGAATTAAACTTAGATGAATAAGTAAAATAATTTTAAGTAAATGATTTAAAAAATATAATTGTTCGGTAACTTATAAAGAGAAATTAAAAAAAACTAGTCAATTGGCCCCATGAAAAATGATTATGGACTAGATTTAAATTCAACCTATTGTGATCTGGTGGTGATCATGAACCCGGTCACAGCAAATATGAACATATTTTATATTATTATTTAACAAACTATTATTAGCAATATATTCTTTATATATGTGTGTGTAAGGAAACCCTTTTCCTTACATCAAAATATAAGTAAAACCAAATTTAAATTGTTAATACTCAAATATGGGTTGCAAGTTACCCAGTTGTTTTTTTATTGATGTTGGAAAACAAAAAATTCATAATATATAATATTACAAAAATTAAATAAATAATAAATAATAATTATTAATATCTTATGAACTTTCTGGAAAGCTGCAGCACTTAATTAGTAACTCATCTCATAAAGAAAATGATATAAAGAATAATTATAAACAATATATAGAATACAAAGAATATAAAGAAAATAATACATAAGTTACACAAGATCAAATAAAAATAAAATTGTAACATTCTAAAAAATCTTTGTTAATGCTACAACCTGTTTCCCAAATTGAAGAAAAGGTAAGTTAACGAAATCAATTGTTACAATATATGTAAAAATTAATTAAAATCACTATATATTCTTCTCAAAATAAATAAAACATTACTTATCTTTATTGTTGTTTTTTAATCCTTTCCTTGTATGTGAATGCCTCCATCAAATATTCATGATAATCATGATTATTATGCAATACATTTGATATCATAATTGACATAACAAAAATTGTATTACCCAAGTAGTAATAATACCAAGGACATGCACAAATGAAACTCTTAATAATGCCTGTCTACCCAGATCTCTTGGTTCACAAAATAAATTATATTTCCTGATTATCAATTATAGTTCCTTATGAATAATAAATCTGATGTTAATTGCAGGTGTCAGATTTAATTAAAATTTTCACAAACATGCAACTTAGTGCTTTCACACACCCTCATAATTGTAGAATTTCTTCCACAAGTGAAGGCCACCCACGTGCTGAAAGGCTTTGAACAAAACCTTTCTTATCTTTTCCTCAGGCCAGGCTGACTGTTTCAATATGAGCATTGATTGCTGATGAGGATTGGCACTTGTGTGATGATTGCATTGTGTTATACCTCTCTAGAATAAAGTTTGTGTCTGCAACTGGTCCAAAATTCTGCAACTTGAGAGGTTGCAACCTGTGTTGCTGTTTTGGATTTTCCCTGAATTTAGAGTTTTGAGTCCTGGGTTACTGTTTTGTCAGTGGCACGTCTGCTCACTGACAACCCTACCCCCATTTAAATATCAAATTCAGTTGATCAAACAAAAATTTAGAGAAACAGAACATTTATGAAAATGATTAATTTATGCATAACATACCAAACAAAAACCTGAACCATTTTATTTTACAGCTTTCTCCTTGATGACAATGATCACAGTGACTATCACAATAGGATTGGGCAGAATCGAACTGCCACCTTTATATTTTGTAAGATACATGCTCTCATTGAGCTACACTCCTTTAACCTAGGGTGGGTTATATGGGCAAATGCCCCAT